GTTTGGATGAACTGACTAATCCTACGCAACACAAACCCACTAGTGTTGTTTGTCCACCTCATAGGTGGCCTAGAACCAATGAGGCAGCCCTATTGCAAAGAAGGCAACAACAACCCCATTGACAAAGCAGGTGGTTGCCTATTAGCACTAGCGGTGGAGGAGCCCTAATAGCGGGGTAGGAGTAGCAAGCCCGGGCACCCCAACCCCCCATGAGTGAGGCAGGCAAAGACAAAGCCCTCAATGACACCATCACCAAACACATTGACAGTTGGCATCCTATGTAGGGTAGCAAGGTAGCATTTAACTAACACAACAACTTAATAGCACAAGAGCATCATTCATAGATTAAGTTGCAAACCAACATGAAAAAGCAAAATGAAAAGTAGTCTCAACATTGTCCATTACATATTAAGCTCACAGACACTGCTCACTTATTCCATACAAAGGTAGCCTAAATGGTTTGAAATTATTACATAAATGTGCCCAACATTATCAAGTCCTAGAAGTACCTCTATTGGCTCACATGCTAGAAGAAATAAAATCTCTCCTAGCCGCCATCCCAGTGCTCTCCTAGGATTGCTACTCATTCATAGGTTGGCAATCTACAACAACTTCGAGATTAGCGAGCCACACTCTTCTTCTGTTGGCACCACTTCATCAATGCCAAAACTAGGTATCCAATGATGCAAAGATGCAACAAGCAAGGACAATCTTCACTTGGATCTTTTATGGGTGGAAGGGCTTATTGTCTAAAATACAAAAGTGGTTCTTCAAAGCCCCAAAGCACGCCTCAATCGTCACTCTAAGTGAAGAGTGCCTCAAGTTACATAGCTCACAGCGTCACTAGGATAGTTTTGGCTAGAATACTTTGACAAATGGTACCGCGCACACCTCACAGCAGGGTGGCATGAACCCCGGCCGACAAGCATAGCCTGCATCAACTAGGTAGAATTTGTCTACAAGTGCAATTAACATATTTTTGGTAAGAATGTGTGTGTTATGTGCACAATAGTATGACTTGTATGGACAATGAGTTACCTTCAGGTACACTTAGCCCATCATCTCTCTCAATAGCATCACCAAAGATCAAAGCGTCATGTCTTGAATCCTCCCACCCAGCTAATGCACGCAGTGGTGAACTTGAGATCTAAGTCCACAATAGCCACTACATTTTTGTGTGGGTTTACTCTTCCCTACCCCTCAAGGCGCCTTGTATGTGTCTAGGCACTCTTTGCCAACACATGAGTGCCATCAATTGCCCTAATGTAATCCTAGAGACAAGGTCCAGACACATCAAATTAATTTTGGACAGTTGTGTTAAGTAATTCAAGTACCTACAATGGACTCGATGCAATGGGCGGAGTACCTTAAAGAAAGGGTTCCATCTTTGGCTGCCCAAAATCTTTGGGTGGGTCTCAAGGTTAGGTGGCTTGATCATCTCATTTCTAAGCTCTCTAACTGCATATAGGACTTGGCGAAAATGGCGGCATGCGGTTTCTATGGACCTTCTAAAAATCGGTGGACAACCCTAAACCTCTAAGTTGTGGCCAACAACATGTAGGAACATAGAAACTTGTTCCTCAAGACTTGAATTGATATTGTCTAGCACAAGGCCCCTCTTGCTAAATAGTTACAAGAGCAAAGAAAGGGGCCCTACTCATCCTTAGCATGGCAATGCACTCTGCATCAGTAGAGTTGTAAATGAGCTACAAGTTCTTGTGCCTATGCTCATCTGCTATAGCCCTAGGACCATACACTATGGGTTCATCCTCACCCCTTAGCCTCTTTATTATGGAAAACACAAAAGCTACCATGGCCACAACCATGGCAGCAACTTGAGTGGCCATAATAGAATGCTGGTTTGTTGGATCCATCTACATGCAGGCATTAAACACAATTTTTAGAACTCAGGCATGCCTTTGCTGGCCTCAGAGTGAACTGCATTCGCATATAGTAATCATGAAGAGGAAGCAGATCCAGAACAGAGGAAGAAGAAGAGGCCCGCGAAACACTAACCACCACCAGCTAGCACCCGGCGAAGGAGATGAAGCAGTTGGCGGAGCGGAGACTGAGATGTAGCAGGCAGAACACCAACGCCACCTCCACCACACCGACGCCAGCGGATGAACTTCCCAACCCCAAGGGTCGGGAGCGTCTGCTACCGCGTCATCAACACCGGGCCAAGTGAGAGCGGAGAGAGCGAGGGAGCGAGAAGCGGCGGAGAAGACGACGAGGGGGATAAATCGGAGGCCGAAAACCCTGGCGGCGCCGCGTGCGGACATTTCCGCCTCCCGCACGAGCCCTCCATGGCCACCCGTCTGGGGCCAAAATAAGCCAGTGAGCACCTGCTCTAGTAGAGCCCGGTTCGTTTCCCCGTGGCCAGTCCCAAGGGTGCTTTAAGGGTCGTGCCAGCCTGGCTCACGGGCTGGTCTAGGCAAACAAACAGGTCGGGTTGCACCCCCGGGCTCGACTCCCCATTCGGGCCAAGCAAACAAACACGTCCTATGTCTCCACCTGCCAATGGCTACCGTTCCATAATCTATACATTTCCTTTGCTCTTAGTGGTGATTTGGAGCAAAAAATGTTCTTCTTGGACTAGTTCTGCGCATCCTGCTGTGATCCTTTGTACTTCTCCTAGTTCTAGTAGTAACATTTGTTAGCACCTGGACGTTGTTGGGTTTTGATTGGAGCGAGGAATTAAGCTAGAAGATCTGTGATTTAGGTCCGTCCGTCCGATCGTCACTTGCCAAAATGAGCACGAACCGCATGGACGGGTTGATTGCTTGACAAATTAGGCATTGTTGCACTTTTCCCGGAAGTCCCCTCCCTAAGAGTTTGTTGGAACGTACAACTAGTGTGTATGGAAGCGTACCTTCTCATGGCAAGCGTGCTTGGCAATACCTGACCTCATCATTTCACTACTAAAAGAAAATAAGATTATACTACAGCGTGGAATGCGTGTTTTTTTCTTCTGGTCTGATCGACACAAGGAATAGAATTGATACCTTGATTGGTTCTTATGCCTTTGCACAGTGCCAAGGTATGAATATCCAGCTTTTCTTCTTTTTGTTCACAGCGAAAGGGTGCGCCAAATGAATATGTGGATCGAGTAAGACAACCACATGTTTTATCTATCGCTGTTCACTCATGGAGACCACACGTTGCATCTAGGTAATGGGATAGGGCCATATGAGCAAAGTTAGGTTCGGATGATGATTGCCAGAAGAATCCATGATCCATTTAAGCTTCATTTGGTGAGGGTTGATCAATGCTGGGATTTTGTTCGCTGGTTTCTCTTTATCTTCCTTCTGGAAATACAGAAAGTGGATATCATGATTGGCACCTATCAAAACATTTTGTACCATATTAGAAATGAGTTCTTTTTTCATTCATCATATATCTAGTGTAGTCACCAAGTTGCTTTTCTTTCAAACGTTCAGTCCATTATGTTCATGTTATTCCTATATTTTCTTCTTGTTGTCTATATTTGTTGATCTCCTTTTTTTCTTATTGTTTTCCTTTCAATTTACAAGTAAACGCATACATATTTATTCTCTTGCACATGTTCATCCTAATAATAAGGTGGCTCTATGTTTTCTCTTTCGATAGGGTTCACACACCATTGATAATTTGCCAACTTCTTCATATGTTTGTAGCGACCTCTGAAATATTTGACCCAAATGAAGATAGCTTTTCTCATGTTGTTGGTTCTCTCCTGTTTATCCTCCTAATGGGATTCACAAAAGCTTAGTTGCAAGGCCGCCAGTTGTGAGTATTGGGTCTATTCTTGGGTTGAACTCCACCACTAGAGGTGTTTTGAGATGTTGCCATCCATGCAGCAGTGGATGATATCAACTCAGATCCAACAGTTCTAAATGGAACAATGTTACGAGTTGACACGAGGGATACAAATTGTGATGACGGTTTCCTTGGCATGGTTGAAGGTAGACCAACTTTAACACCGATTCCCTTTTATTTCAATTGCTCAATACTTGCGTGCTTCCATTCTAGACTTGTGATGATGATACAATATTCCTTTTTTTGACTTTGCGATTACATGGCGGTCGATGTTATTGCAATCATCGGACCACGATGCTCTCCTATTGCTCATATCATTGATTATGTCGCAAATGAGCTCCAAGTTCCTTTGATGTCCTTTCGTCGGATGCAACTCTATCATCAATCCGGTTCCCATTCTTCATGCGGACTATTCCCAAAATGATCTCTACCAAATGGCGGTGTGGCGGCGGTTGTTGATTACTACCATTGGAAGATAGTGACCGCGCATATACGTTGATGATGATTATGGTCAAAAACGGCATTGTTGCTTTGGATGATGAACTTACCGCAAAACGTGCAAAATTTCATACAAGGTTGGGTTCCGTTCAATGCTAAACCAAGTGAGCTTCTAAATCTATTGGTTACTTAGTAATATGGCGTCTCGTGTTATTATCCTCCATCTTTGGTTCGGGAACCGGACTCAAGCTTTTGTCAATTGCTAATTCACTAAACATGATGGGCAACGGCTTTGTATGGATTGCAACCGATTGGCTTTCGCTTATCTTGATGCGAATTCATCGGTCCCTTCTGAAACTATAAATGGCATGCAAGGTGTTTGATCAGATGTCCACACACTCTAAAAGTCAAAGATGAAGAGTAATCTGGGTGTCCGTGTGGAGCAGCTTATGCAAGAAATACAACCACAGTGATCTTCACATCAGTAGCTTATGGTTTTATGTTTATGATAGTGTGTGGACTGTAGCTCGGGCCTTGGATGCCTTCTTTGATGATGGTGGGAGGATTTCCTTTACAAATGACTCAAGGTTGAGTGACAAAACTGGGGGAAAACTTCACCTTGAAGCCATGAGTATTTTTGACATGGGAAACAAATTATTGGATAAGATTAGAAATGTGAACTTCACTTTGGGTTTCGCCAAGTGCAATTTAATGCTCAGATGAACTCATTCATCCCGCCTATGATATCATAAACATAATTGGGAATGGCATGCGGACCATTGGTTTTTGGTCAAACTATACAAGATTGCTATCGACTGTACTTCCAGAGGACCTATATTCGAAGCCTCCTAATACTTCTCTTGCCAATGAACAACTCTATGATGTCATTTGGCACGACAGATCGCATGAAGCCTCGAGGCTGGGCCTTTCCTTCCAATGCCAAGGAGTTGAAAATTGGCGTCCCTAACAGATATAGCTTTAAAGAGGTTGTTGGCCAAGATAATGCTACTGGGTCAATGAAGGGCTATTGCATCGATGTCTTCACTCAAGCATTGGCATTGCTTCCTTATCCAGTTACATACAGGTTTATACCTTTCGGCAATGGTACTAAAAATCCTCATTATGACCAACTTGCACAGATGGTTGCGGACAATGTAAGTGTGGACATGCATTTTTTTTCCTCCTCCACATTTCATCATGTATAGTAGTGATCAGAGTTACTTTATCCTGCAGGATCTTGATGCAGCAATAGGGGATATCGAAATTACAATGAGCCGATCTAAAATTGTTGATTTCACCGAGCCCTTCATTGAGTCAGGCCTGGTTATCTTGGCTCCGATCGAAAAGCATAACACAAATTCTTTGGCATTCTTGCAGCCATTTACATTGGGTATGTGGGGTGTTACAGGGTTGTCTATTCTTGTTGTGGGTGTGGTTATTTGGATTCTTGAGCATCGAATAAATGATGAATTTCAAGGCTCGCCACGGGAACAAATAAAAACTATTGTTTGGTAAGGATCTGAATCGCATCTTTTGCACTTAATATACACACATCTTGTTTTCACTTACAAATGTTATTTTTTTCCTTTGTTTCCGTGCAACATGTTACGCTTTATTGGCAGCCTTAAACTGTGTTTTTTAACATTGACATTTGGTCCAAATGGAACACCTAGCAATGAACAAGGAACTTAAATCTTGTAATTTAGATTGGTTGAAGAAAAGATGTCTGTAGTCTCATAATCTATGTCACGTGATATTATGGTATATTATCCTCTATTTTTTAGCTTTGCCTATCAAAGTACTTCTCCACACATATTGTTAAATGCTTGCCTGATGGCTTGATTCTTTCCTCTGAAAGTAGTTCTTATGATATGATTTATTCTCTGCGTGTTTAGTTTTTTCGACTCTATTTTTTTTGGCTGCAGGAGTAAACTAACCTTTCCTGTTCTCTCCTTCAGTATAACTGACCCTCTGTTCTGATGTGGCACCTCTGCTCTTATTTTTTATTATCAGGAGAAAACACTATGAGTACCTTAGGACGTGGTGTTTTGATCATATGGCTATTTGTTGTATTGATCATTCAATCAAGCTATACTGCAAGTCTTACTTCCTTCCTAACCGTGCAACAACTTGATAGTTGGATAAGAGGACTTGATGACCTGAAACATAGTGATTATCCTATTGGTTACCACTCCGGTTCTTTTGCCAAAGAATACATGATCAAGCAACTGAACATCTCACCGTCGAGGCTAAAAGCTCTTGGTTCTCCTGAAGAATACGCTGAAAACCTCAAACTAGGCCCGAATAAAGGAGGTGTTATGGCCATTGTTGAAGAGCGCCCCTATGTTGAGCTATTTTTGTCAACTTACTGCAAGATTGCTGTTGCTGGCCCGGAATTCACCAGTGCTTTGGATGGGGCTTTGTAAGTGCATCTAACTTTAAGTTGTCTTGAAATATATTCCATTCTAGTAGAAATATAAACAGAAACACATCTTATATTTCCTTCAAGATTATCAAAGTAGTGTTACATCATTAACTACAAGCGTTCCATCCACTGTTCACATAGCTGATAGTACACTCTAAGAGAAAGGTCACGTTCTCTAAGATTATGGAGCCTTCCTTGCACTTATTTGCAGCAGAGGTCTAATGTCCAGAGTGTAGCAACTTCGTTTCATTAATTCGAACATAGCTCTTACAGAACTCACTCTATCAGGTATTTCCAATGGATTCCCCTCTGCAAGTAGACATGTCCACCGCAATCCTAACACTGTCGGAGAGTGGGGAACTGCAGCGGATCCATGACAAGTGGCTCAAGACAGGCGATTGCTCAACTGAGTGTGTGGACTCGAACCAGCTCCGCCTTGAGAGCTTCATGGGCCTGTTCCTCATTTGTGGCGCAGCATGTGTCCTCGCCCTGCTCATTTACTTCGGCATCATGCTACGCCAGTACCTGAGACATAAACAGCCGGGATCAGCAATCTCCGTGGATGCAGGATCATCGACATCGTAAGCGCAGCCTCAGAAAATTCATTTCATTTGTCGATGACAGGCAGCCACCACCAAAGAAAAAGCGGACCATGAGCCTCTCAAGAAGTTCAATGCCAACAACCCCAACCACCCAATGATAAGTGGATAACAAGTAGTCCGAGTTTGGCAAAACTGTAAAATTGTAGAGTCAACCCTTGTTCACGAATGATGATGGTGTTATGAATGGAATAAATGTTTGTTTTAGTTGATTTGTTCTTTCAGATTTCTGTCGTTATGCTTGCGATGCATCTTCTGGCCACCATGAATTGATTTCACAAGTTTTTTTTTCTTGGAACACATTGATTTCACAAGGTACTACCTTTGTACACAAGAGAATACAATTCTAGATGCATTGTTTGATTAAAGTGGTTCAAGTTTAACCAAGTATACAGATAAAAATATTAATGTCTATGACACCACATAAGTGTATATAAAAGTATATCTTTCGACAAATGTAACGGTACTTGTTTGATATCGTAGAATATTGATGTTTTTTTTATATATAGTTAGTCAAACTTCAGATATTTTAACTTAGCGGTTCGTGCAGCGATATCTCTCATTTCTCTGTTGCGGCTGCGGGTTTCGATTCATAAATAATCTTACTGTCTGCTTCAGTCCAGTTAGTTTCGTGCTGTGTTTGTTTTGCTGCGGCCTGCGGATTGCTGTGATCACTGTTCGATTATCCTCTTCTACGGCTCGCTGTATCGATCCCAGTTGCCTCCCTGATGTCTTGAAAATCTCAGTTGACCCCGTAGGACTTGGTAATCCCAGGTGACGGCCTTATTATTCATATATGTTAAAAATAAAATGAATTTACGCCTCTGGGTTTTGCGGACCAGATCTTTGGGAGTTGCTCTGCTAAGTTGGTTTTCAGGAGAAATTGATTCTGTTAATCATGTGGAAGATTTGCGAATTGAGTTTTATTGTTTTTTTCTCGAATACGCATGAGAGCTGCATATCATTGGGATTAAGAAGAAAGGAGTTTATGTTACAAGAGTATCCGGCATGGCCGGTGGCACAGAAATGCTACATTGATAAACCAAACAATCAGCAAGGGGATGCAGCTAGCCTAGTGCTGTTCAGCTAAAGCTCTCAATCCCATCGCACCGGCTTCGATCCAGCGATCCGCTTCCATTTTGATGATTTGCAGCAGCTCAGCGATCGTCACCGTGGCTTCCCGGAAACATCTTGCGTTCTGTTCCTTCCAAACCTGCCAAGACACCAAAGCAAAAAGAGAATCGATCCCCTTACGCCGGTTGCCATTAGCAAGCTTACGCAGCCTCCTCCACCACGTAATGGTTGTCTGAGCTCCTTGGGGCGGATGTAAGCCGATGGCCTGCAGAACGAAGTGCCAAACCTCCCTGGTGAATGGGCAGCACGCGATTATGTGGTCAATTGTTTCCGGAGCTTGGTCGCAAAGGTAGCTGCGATCACGTGCATCCAGGCCGTGCCTAGTCCGTCGATCGGCAGTCCAGTGTCTGCGTTTCATCGCCAACCACAAGAAGATCTTCACGCGAAGAGGAGCCCAGGCCTTCCAGATGAGTTTTATCCTTTTTGTTTCTCACAAAAGTAGGCATGTTATAAAATATGTATCAGAATGCAGGACCTTCTGAGTTCTGATCGCATTTCTTACAAATGCAGCTGCTGGAGTTTGACGAGTCAAAAGCTGAGGCGGAGGAAGGCGGTGCAGAAGAAGAGCAAGACGATGATAGTTCCAAAGGCAACAAAAAGGTGGACTAGCATTCTAGCAGGATTTGGATCTGGAGGAAAAAGGGCAGGAAGACAGCTTTCGTGTAAGGTCGTCTAAACGGGCTTGATGACCTCTAATACGTAATACCGGCTCAGCTTACTTAAGAACTTAGAAATGGTTTACATGATACAAGTTTTTGTTTTTCACTTTGCGGATTATTTGGCCTGGGCTGGAGAGTGGAAGATGAGGGAAAATAGATGCTGTTTTTTTTCTTCGAAAGATCCGTTGTCGGCTTTCATTAATAAGTGAAGGATGAAATTACAGTGTCTCAGCGCGAGAGGCGCTCATTTTGCCTGGCATACACATTTACAGTGTTTGCCCTGCCACCCCTAAAAACCTTCTAAGAAACACTTACATATGGATATGATCATTAATGGCTAGCTGAGCCGTTTATGGCAAAAGACCAGCTCTAGACCTCTATTTCCAAAGATGCAGCCAGTTCTTTGCTTCATCCCAGATCACTCAAAAAAAGTTGCTCCGCGTTCTTGACAATCTGTTGAAAGCTTCGGTTATTCCTCTCCTTCCATAGTTCCTGGTAGTCAAGCATAATCATTGAACGCACACCATTTCTTGTAGCTTTTGGGCCCTTGTCTCCCATATCAGCATACCATTGGCTCAAGTCTTCAGCTTTGGGTCCAGTTCACCGGCCTCGATGTCTTTGACCGATCCAGACACCCACCTTGTCCCGAGATCATCATAGAGTAGCAGCATTCTGGAAGAGATGTGATACCGTTTCTAGATTCCTTACACAAAGTTTGTGAGAAATAGTCATTAGGCCATTGCTCGATTAACAATCGCCGCCGTCCGGATCCTATTCTGTAGCATCAACCATGTGAAGAATCGACATTTTGGTGGTGCCTTTGTCTTCCATGTAATGTCACCGTGTCCTGGATGGATTCGTTCCCATGAATTGTAGTCTATATACCGAGCTTGTTGAATACTGGCCATCGGTATGTAACCAGTTATCTGATCATCTTTGTGTCACTTTGTAGAATAACCTCCTCTGAGACGTTCCCATAGCGACACAAATTCTTGAATCACTGATGAGACATGTTGTGGTCCATCTCTCGATCCACTTGTCTTCGATCAACAGCATCCCGAATCTGTTTCTATTCTTCCTTTTCTTTGTGTTTGAACAGACCGGGTATAAGGTTGCAGGTGCTTCTCCTTGCGGCCAGCGAGAGGTCCGTAAGGTAGCCTTGTTTCCGTTGCCTAAAGTCACAGATTGTTGCCGCGTTGAAGAGTGCTATATCAGTGCTGTCTATCGGTAGATCTAGACCTTTCCACGGCCTGGCTGTGTCATCCCATGAATACCATAGCCAACGAAGTCGCAGAGCGCGACTGAACTTATCAAGCTCGATGATGCCAAGGCCCCCATTTACCATTGGTGTGCAGACCTTGGTCCATGCCACCTTACAATTTCCTCCTGTAAGCTCCTTGTCTCCTGCCCATAGAAATCGTCTACGCAGTTTTTCTAGTTCTTTTAGGAATTTTTTGGGTGCTTTTACTGCCGTCAACAAATAGACCGGATTGAGCTGAGCACAGGCGCACCAGTTCTCTTGGCCAGCCACACACACTGAGTAGGCCCTGCCCGCCACCTGCTACTCTTCCCTTTGCTCTGTCTTGGATGTACTGCAGATGCACCATTTTGATTCTTCCAAGTGTGAGAGGTAGGCCTAAGTATTGTATTGGGAAATTTACTCTTGGCCCCGGGAAGTCATGCAATATATCTTCCATGTTTAGTCCAGAGCACCTAATCGGCGCTATGGTACTCTTACGCATGTTGATCTTCAGTCCCAAAGGGCTGCACCAAACGCTGCTTCATGATCTCCATGATGCGTGTAATGTCCTGCCGTAATAGGGTTGGTGAAGATTACCGCATCGTTGGCATACATTGAAATTCGGAGGCTTGCATACCTCCCCTTGAGCTTTGATATGAATCCTTGCTGTGTTGCAATGTTGAAAATATTGTTAAGGACATCGATTGCTAGTATGAACAGGTAGGGTGAGAGAGGGTCGCCTTGTCTGAAGTCCTCTCCGATGCCCGATAGCTTCTCCTGGACATCCATTCAAAGAAAATAGCCGAGGAGGACGTTCTAAGTATTGCTGCCAGCCAGTCAAGCCATCTTGTAGGGAATCCTCTTCTGCCCAGTAGCTCAATTAGGTATTCCCAAGATACCGAGTCGAAAGCTTTAGTTATGTCAAGCTTGATAAGACAAGCTAGTGTTTTTGTCCTATGGTAGTGGCGTGCTAACCTCCTGACATACAGAAAATTTTTCTGGATGCATCTTTTTTTAATGAATGCGCTCTGGGAGTGTGAGATGAGTCTGTCAATATACACTGATAATCTTATGGCCAGCACCTTGGTCAGCAGCTTTGCAAAAGAGTGTATCAGGCTAATCGGTCTAAAGTCCTTTGGCTCTATTGCAGTTTCAGTCTTGGGAATCAGCACCACCTGAGCCGTATTTAAATGTTCCAGCGCACCATTGTGCTGTATGAAGAATGCATGGAAAGCGTTAAGGATATCTGGCTTGATGATATCCCAGCAGTTCTTGTAAAAATCATTAGTGAAACCATCTGGCCCTGGTGCCTTTTCACTGGGTAAGCATCTGACAGCTTGATCTAATTCATCTTCAGTAAAAGGTCTGTCTAGTTCCAGCCCTGTAGACTGTTGTATGGTGTTTATCTAGAGATGTTGCCATTGTAAGGTGTGTTGCCTCCTGACCTTTTTTCCAATCAAATTCTCAAAGTACTCCTGCAGGACTTGTTGTTTATCATTGTTTGACCAGACCAAGGAGCCGCCTTGGTTTTTCAGTGATGCAACATATTTTCTTCTTTTCCTAGCTGCCATCTTAAGGTGAAAAAATCTCGTGCAAGCATCCCCAGCTTTGATGAAATTGATTCTGGATGCCTGTCGCCTTCTGCTTCTCTCTAATGCTGCTAGGCCCAAGATTCTAACCTTGAGGTCACTTCTTAAGCTGATTTCCCCTACTGTGAGTTGCCTGACTTCTTGAGCGATATCCAGTCTAAATATGACCTCATTTGCAATGTGCAGCTGTAGCCTCGCATTGCTGAACAGCTTCTTGTTCCAGTTACGTAGCGCCGTAGCCGTTTCTGCCATCTTCTTGTTTAGTACATTGTGCGCTGAGCCAAATTGTGGTTTATTCCATGCTGCTGTCACAACCTCCTTAAACCCATCAATCTTTAGCCAGTGGTTTTCAAATTTGAAAGCCGCCTTTCTGACTGTGCGTTCTTGACGGGTCAGGAACAGCGGGCAGTGATCTGAAGCACCCGTTGCCAGAGCGTTGAGCGCGAAGTTTGGGAAGGCAGCCTCCCAGCCATGATTACAGAACATCCTGTCCAATCTTATCAAGGTTGGGCTCTCTCTTTCATTGGACCACGTGTATTTCCTGTTTTGCAGTGCAATCTCCATGAGCTCACATTCGTCTAATGCTCGTCTGAACTTTCCCATCATTCTTCTATTGAGGTTCAGGTTGTTTTTGTCACTGGCCTGATAGATGAGGTTGAAATCTCCTACAATGATCCATGGAATAGTAGCTGGCGGCTTGATAGCCATCAATTCAGCAAGGAACTCATCTTTTCTGCCATCATCCGCAGGTCCATAACATGTAGTCATTAGGAAAGGTGTCTCTGAAGATATAACCTTGATAGTTGCTGAAATGGTGAAGTTTCTATTTACTGCATTAGTGACAGAGATCATGTCCTTGTTCCAGGCTAAAATAATTCCACCTCTAGTCCCCTGAGCCCCCAACTCAAGATAGGAGTCAAGACATTGGCCGAGGGTCTCGTGGGCCAGAGTAGTAGTGAGACAGCTCAGTTTGGTTTCCTGCAGGCACACAATGCTTGGCCGCGAGCAGGTCACCGTTTCCCTGACAAGTTCTCTATGAGCAGCGTCATTGAGGCCCCTTACATTCCATGTTTGCGATGTCCTGACGTGCTCTTGATTCGTTAAGGAATTCACCAGAACTCTGATTGGGCTGACGCATTCTTGCATCATATTAGCTTTGCTTTTTTTTGCAGGCAAGAAATTCATTATGGAGTTTACAGGTTGAATCAGCTTGGGGAAAACACCTCAGATCTTACAGCACGGGCATAAAGAGCGAGTGATTTTACCGACCGTGCTTAATCATATATACTCATGACTCATTAGTGTTGCTTGGGGCAAATTGTTTCTAAGTTATATGAAGGTTGGTGGCAAACACAGAATGGGCTGATGGCCCACGGTAATTTAGGCTTAGGGGTGTCAACCTCATGAGTCAGAATGAGCTACCCAGAAAGAAATTGAGATACTGGGACGAACTTAAATCATATATTGTCCTGACTCATGAAGTCAAATCACTCTGGAATCTCACAAATTGATCCAAGTTCTCTTATAGGCAAGCGAATTAGATGTAGTTCAGGCAACCTAATCGGTCGCCGCTGTAGGTTTCTAGAAAAAAATGATCCATCTTTTTCACCGTTTCCAGGTTCCAGCTACTGTAGGTGAGCCAAGGGCTGAATAAGACGAGGAATTGAAGAGATGGTAGTGCAGACGAAGAGCAAGATGATGCATTGATGCTAGTTCTAAAGACAAGAAACTAGTTGGACTCATGTTGTTCCAAAGACAACAAAGAGCAAGATGATGTGCAGAAGAAGAGCAAGAATATTTCTCTAAAAAAGAGAAACAAATCAAGAGCATGAATAAGCCTTTGCCTTGCTGATTTTCTTTTAATTTTTGTCTGAAAAGTGGTGTCCTGACCTATCATCTTTGGTTGTGTCAAGATTTCACCAGAACTTTGACTTATTTATCCACCATGTCCCATGCATTCCACATGCATGAGGAATTTGCTTTGCTCTCGTCATGGTTAACCAACAACCAGTTCCTCCATCAGTCCATCTGTTTGGGAGGTAAATAAATTTCATAGGGATTTCATTTTACAGCAGATCGTCTCCAAAGTTGCTATTACCTTTTGGTTTTTATGGTGGACAGGGAAAGGTGAAATGACCCCCAGGATCGGAGAATATCTTGCTGCAGCCTCCAAGTCCAAATCCAAAGGGTGCCAAACTTTGGCCAACTTTTACCTGGCCCTATTAGAAGTAGCAATAGCGATCAAACCCAAATGGTAAGGTTCCATGCAAATAAAGTAGACTGTAGGCTACAGTCTGAAAGTATCTGATTCTCCTCTGCATCAAAGCCACGGCCGAAAGCCATATATATGCCTTGCGTGGTTTGACCCTGGCTTCCCAAATAAATCCCATTCCCGTGTAGCACCAATGTAACAAGCTTGGTCATGAGCCAAATGCTTGACTGCACTCGGGATGCTTCATGCTTGTGCTTCCTTCTCCTGCACACAAACACAATCTACTGAATTCCACACCCTTAATAAATCTGTTGTTGTTTAATAATGACGTGCATGGGGCTCGTGGTTTAATCTAATTTATTATTTTCACCGATATAACACATCCATTTTGCATTATTGCTAAATGCATGTTGTAAGTATTGATACTTTCCTCTATAATCTTAGTCGAACAGTTGAACATTAGAAACTTTGACTAAATACATGTCAAAGTTAAATTTGTCCTTGAGAGCATGTGCTCCATAACCCATCCCTTGTATCGTTAGATGTGTATGGGGTTCCATGTATGAGGATAGGTGCGGTGCGGGATGGGAGCACATGCTCCTAAGGGTAAAACAAAACTGTGTTTATAAATACACATAGTAGAATTATATTTTTTTTCCCTCGGGGAGTACTTTTATATATATGATCTTGGCAACGACGCACGTTAGCTATTATAGTTGGTCGTGCGAAGCGCATCAAATCCGCACATATCGTGCCATCACACAGCTAGGCACCAAATTAAAGCAAGAATAATTATATATAGGGAGAGTATATTCAGTAGCCAACTACAAAATAAGTTATTCTGTAGCCACCTTCATTTACGATAATTTTATATACTAATTTACGATAATATCAATACATATTTACGATAGTTGGGTTACTATAACACATGGGGATATTTACCATAACGTTATAGTAAACCACTTAGTAAGAAGTTGCTATAATCTCATAAATTAACATAGTAATTAGCGTAACTCAAAGTGGCTACAGAATAAGTTATTTTGTAACTAGCTACATGGTACTAGTTCTCTCTCTCTCACTATATATATATATATATATATATATATATATATATATATATATATATATATATATATATATATATTCTGCCGTGTATTCCAAAATGTTCGGCTGCTGCAGGCGTTAACTAACTGGAAGAGAAGCATGCTGCGTTTTCATTTCATTTCCAGCTTAATTAACTGGGCGAGTGGCAAACAGGTTTAGGCTTCATATTCTTCTCACACACATGCATATATATAGGCTGGTTAGATGATTGTAAAGCCGGCCAGTCGGCCACACCGCGTAGAGCGAGATGGAGAATTCTGAGACAAGCAGGCAGCATCAGATGCATGCAGCTAGCGCTAATCCATCACATTCACATGCACCACAGCGTCTTTATTTGGTCTTTTCCTGTTACTTAAGCAAAAAATAAGGACATATTCGTCCCTGATTTCGACAGCTCACAGATTGCAACTAAGGATCAGTTTTATTTCTTCAGTGACCTTTATTTGTTCTTTATTTTGTGTGTGTAAGTATAAGAGTGTCTTGCCAAATACTCTCCCTGCGTTCCATAAGAACCTAATTCTAGGGCAGGTTCAAATCAAACTATCTTAACCTTGTCGGGCAGGTTCAAATCAAACTATCTTAACCTTGTTTAATAATTTTTTTTTAAAAAAAAACCAACATTGTTTATGACTTCAAATAGATATACCATGAAAATACATTCTATGATAGGTACTAATGGCATACTAGCTAGAGTATGTTAAATATTGGTATCTTTTTTATGCAAATTAATTTGATCAACTTAAGAAGGAGGATTGAGTGAAAACTGTTATAAAATTGTGTTTTTTTCTGGGATGGAGGAGGTAGTACTAGTCATGGAATATATATAATGCAGTTTATTGCTGAGGCAACGCAAGGTATATATAAAGATTAGTAATTAATAATACCGAGATCCAATCGCCTGTCTTGTCGTTGTTCCAATAAGGTGAGGCAAGGAGGATATATATTCAGATAACCAAAAGGTGCCTGCTTGCCCTTTTCTACATACACGACCGACCAAACTAATGTTAGTAGTATATTGACAGCACATTTATAAAAGGAGTATATTAGAAACAAGATGCTAAGATAAAATTGCTACTCCCTCTGTTTCTAAATAAATTAATTTCTAAAATCCGTGCAAGTCAAACTATTTTAAGTTTGATTAACTTTTTATATGAAAGAATAACAACATCTATGACATAAAATGAGCATATTATGAAAATATATTCTATGGTATATCTAATGATACTAATTTGATGTCATAAATCTTGACAAAATTTTCTAGAAACTTGTCAAAGTTTAATAAGTAAACTTAACACAACTCTAGGAATCTTTTTCTAGAAACTTGTCAATGTTTAATAAGTAAACTTAACACAACTCTAGGAATTTATTTATTCAGGACGGAGGGAGTAACTAAATACAAATGTTCTTCCTGGCTTGCCTTGCCGATGAAGCTTATGAAAAAGAGATGCGCATTTACATTAATTGTTGTCTTTCCAATAAAAAGATATGCGTTTACATTAATTGCGAATAAAGCGGCCTTCTACGTCAATATATGTTTCATTGATTATCAAAATTGTTGTCATCTTCAAAGCTAAAAAAAGAAAGATGGAATGGAAATTGTAGAGTACTCCCTCCGTTTTTATTTATATGGCACATTAGCTTTGTCCTAAGTCAAACATTTGTATCTTTGACCATTAATTCCGAAAAGTTTATGTAAGTTAATGATATAAGATTTATATGTTTAGATTCACTATGAGAAATATTTTCATAATCTATAATTCATATGTTGATAAATTATAAGGATTTTTTGAAATTAATAGTCAAAGATAGTAATGTTTGATTTAGGACAAGACTAATGTGACGTATAAATAAAAACGGATGGAGTACTCCCTCTGTCCCTAAATAACTGTCGTTTTGGGTTCGTGCCGTAAGTTTGACTAGATTCGTAGAAAATACGTGCAACATTTGTATCTCCAAATAAATTTATTATGAAAATAAATTCGACGATCTATCTAATGATATTAATTTTGTACCATAAATATTATTATTTTTATATATTTAGTCAAAGTTTTTCTCTGAAAACGAAAACGATAGTTATTTAGGGACGGAGGGGGTGAAGGAATAGGACGTGGTGGTTAATTGCCGTGTGGACAGATGAGATAATCAAGAGAGAGACGTACGCACACTACAGGTAGCGGACAGTCTTGAGCGAGATAACGTTTCGGCTGAAACGATCGTGAATTATTACTGCTGGCTGGTTTGGTGTGAAAGAAAAAATATTATTCTAGCTTATAATCCACGATCGTTTATGACCGAGCGAACAGGTTTGGAGTGACAGCGATGTATCATATTCATATGAGCTCGTGGTGCACGTTTATTATTTGCAATGGTTCCGTATGTATATACTCCGAACAGTCAAACAATATTGTGATACATAATAAGTATCACTAGATTAATAAAAATATATTTTTACAGTAGATCTATTAAAAGAGATAAATATTGATATTTTGTTCTATAAACCTAGTTAAGTTTGAGATTATTTTTGACTTTTGAAAAAGCAAGTAGTTCTTGGTTCCTTCCTAATTGCTCTCAGCATAAAATTTGTCTGCCACAAATATATAGCTTTACTCATTGTCACCATGAAATCGATGCATGTATACTTGTCCCTTTCATACATGACATTCAAGGCAACAAGTAAAGTTAACCAATCTAATAATAATAAAATGGGTGATCGATCACTTGCGTATGTACACATGCATGACTTCAGAATGACTTGGGTCACTTCCTAAATAAAACTATTTTTTTTAAAAAAAATAAAATTTTGCTGAGATCGATGGATGGATAGATGACCCAGTGGCTTCTTCAACAAGTACCGAAAATGATTATTCGGAGGAAGCTGTCCCCTACACACATGCTGTCACCTTCGTCATTACTCTCATCTCCTAGTATTTGCCTTGTTAACCTTGTGCCTGTCTCTCTCTCTGAAACATACATATATCACATCTTGTACACGTACTTGTTAGATAGTCTTTCTCTACCGTAGAAAAGTTTCTAACGGAGCATTTGGATACGATACAACATAGGCGAACACATGAATTACAATAGAAAGATAGACACATGAATGTTTCCTTCAAATTTCCCTATAGATTGAGCTATTTCATAAGAATTTTATATAGGATTTCAAGATGACCAATCCTTTGTCCCAATGGGTCACATAGAAAAAATTTCTATAGGTTCACAAACCTATAAAATTCCTTGATATATAAATCATATATGTTCCAAAGGGGGCCTACCTATGAAAGGAAAAAAAACAACAGAGAAAAAATAAATCTATATATATGGCATGTACTGTAACTCCTATTCCTTTCTTTGCCCAATCACACACTCCAACTCCAAGGCTCAAGGTTGCAGGCACCGGCAGCAATGGATGATGTACGGACCATGGTGAAATGTCTGTGACTGTGGCCACTAGGCTTATTAGTAGTGCTTATTAGTAGGCAATGGATGATGTACGTACGCCGGCTTGCACGGCGCTAGTAACACGTGTGTCACGTCATCTTGTCTATGCCGATCGACCACCAATCACCGTGGATAGATAGATGCTTCACTAATCATCTTGCTGTCGAAGAGCAGGGAGCAATCGGGTTGACGGATTATTATATATAATAATACGAGTACTAAGTTAAAATTTCATAACATGACCGACAAATACCTATGAAAGTAGAACACATGAATTTTACACGAGCTGTATAGTAATTTCACGAGAATCGGTTCATTTTACGCATGAACAAAAAAAAATCTCATCTCACGTTTTAAAAGGGGCCTAGAAGTTTAACTCAAGAGTCAAGACAAACCCAACTACCTACAATATATAATTTAGTCAATATAAGTCCTCACTTAACCCAAGTCACCATAGAGCTTGTTGTGGTCGATGAGTAAAGGTTCAAATCACACCTACTAATCTGCAAGTGCAGAGTGGTAGACTCTCGTTTAATGATATAGGCTCACGGCTGACGTGGTACACCGCGCACTGGTATCATTGCCCTTGTCCACCGTGTGGGGCCCACCTGCTGCCACTCTCCAATCTCCATCTCCCTCCTCTTGCTATATACTCCCGGCTCCTCCTCGCCTCCAAAATAAAATCACCTGAGAAAATGAGCTTCAGGGAAGGCCGCCGCCGCCTCCTGGGGTCTTGACGAGGAGTCAAGCCGCGGCACGCTCCCCCGGAGACGACCAAGATTTCCTCTTTCTGGGGAGCACGAGCACCAACGCCATCCCGTAAGTCTCCCTCCTCATGCTGTTCCCGCCCCAGAACTAGCACAGAGACATCTTCAACATTTTTGTTCCTGGAGCCGAGCAAATCCCCGTGTCTCCACCTGCCAATGGCTGCCGTTTCCGGCCGTTTCCTGGGCTCTTAGTAGTGATTCGGAGCAAAAGTTGTCTTCTTGGGACTAGTTCCTGCACATCCCTCTCCCGGCCGCTAGTACTTCTCCTAGTAGTAACATCTGTTAGTACCTGACGCTGTCGGGGTTTGATTGGAGCGAGGAATTCGCCAGAACATCTGCGATTTAGGTCCGTCCTGTTGATCGTCACTTGCTAAAACGAGCACGAACCGCATGGAGGCGCTGATTGCTTGACAATCTAGGCATTGCTGCACTTTTCCAGGAAGCCCCCCCCCTCCCTGAGAGTTTGTTGGAACGTACTGTACTAGTTGTATGGAAGCGTACCTCCTCGTGGCAAGCGTGCTTGGCAATACCCAACCTCATCATTATAGTAGTGTGGAATGCGTATGTTTTTTCTTCTTCTTGTCTGATCCACACAAGGAATAGAATCGATACCTTGATTGGTTCTTATGCCTTGCACATAGCACAGTGCCAAGGTATCAAATATCCAGCTTTTGTTCTTTTCGTTCATAGCGAAAGGGTGTGCCAAATGGAATATGTGGGTTGAGTAAGACAGCCACCTCTTTTATCTGTCGCTGTTCACTCATGGACCACGCATTGCATTTGGGTTATGGGTGGGATAGGGAGATATGAGCAAAGTTAGGTCCTGGATGATGATTGCCAGGAGAATCCATGATCCATTTAAGCTTCATGTGGTGAGGATTGATCAATGCTGGGATTATGTTTCGTGGTTTCTCTCTCTCGTTCTCTTCCTTCTGGAAATATGGAAAGTGGATATCGTGATTGGCGCCTACCAAAACATTTTGTACCATATTTGAAATGAGTGTTTTTTTCTTCCATTCGTGATATATTAGTGTAATGACTGAGTTTCTTTTCTTTGCACTGTCCAGTCAATTATGTTCATGTTATTCCTATATTTGCTTCTTGCTGTCTATATTTGTTCATCTCCTTCTTTCTTATTGTTTTCCTTTCAATTTACAAGAAAACGTCTTATATATTTATTCTCTTGCACATGTTCATCCTAATAAGGTGGCTCCATGTTTTTCTCTTTTGATAGGGTTCACACACTCATTGATAATTTGCCAACTTCTGCATAAGTTCAAAGCAGCCTCTGAAACATTTGGGCCAAAATGAAGATATCTTTTCTCATGTTGATGGTTCTCTCCCTGTTTCTCTTCCCTAATGGGATCCACAAAAGCTTAGCTTCAAGGCCTTCAGTTGTGAGTATTGGGTCTATTCTTCGGTTGAACTCCACCACTGGAGGTGTTTCAGATGTTGCCATCCATGCAGCAGTGGATGATATCAACTCAGATCCAACAGTTCTAAATGGAACAACGTTACGAGTTGACACGAGAGATACAAATTGTGATGACGGTTTCCTTGGCATGGTTCAAGGTAGACCATCTTTAATACCGATTCCCTTTTTTATTTCACTGTTCAATACTCCGTGCTTCCATTCTAGACTTGTGATGATGATACAGTATACCTTTCTTCAGCTTTGCAGTTCATGGAGACTGATGTTATTGCAATCATTGGGCCACAATGCTCTCCTATTGCACATATCATTTCGTATGTCGCAAATGAGCTTCAAGTTCCTTTGATGTCCTTTGCATCGGATGCAACCCTATCATCAATCCAGTTCCCGTACTTCATGCGGACTATGCCCAGCGATCTCTATCAAATGGCAGCTGTGGCGGCAGTTATTGATTACTACCAATGGAAGATAGTGACTGCCATATACGTTGATGATGATTATGGTCGAAACGGCATTGCTGCTTTGGATGATGAACTTACTGCAAGGCGCTGCAAAATTTCATACAAGGCCGGGTTCCGTTCCAATGCTAAAAAAAGTGAGCTTCTAAATCTATTGGTTACTGTTAGTAATATGGAGTCTCGTGTTATTATCCTCCATACTGGTTCGGAACCCGGACTCAAGCTTTTGTCAATTGCTAATTCACTAAACATGATGGGCAACGGCTTTGTATGGATTGCAACTGATTGGCTTTCTGCTTATCTTGATGCGAATTCATCGGTCCCTGCTGAAACTATAAATGGCATGCAAGGTGTTCTGACTGTACGTCCACACACTCTAAAGTCAAAGATGAAGAGTAATCTGGTGTCCAGGTGGAGCAGCTTAAGCAAGAAATACAACCACAGTGATCTTCGCATCAGTGCTTATGGTTTTTATGTTTATGATAGTGTGTGGACTGTAGCTCGGGCCTTGGATGCCTTCTTTGATGATGGTGGGAGGATTTCCTTTACAAATGACTCAAGGTTGCGTGACGAAACTGGGGAACTCTTCACCTTGAAGCCATGAGTATTTTTGACATGGGAATCAAACTACTGGATAAGATTAGAAATGTGAACTTCACTGGGGTGTCTGGCCAAGTGCAGTTTAATGCTCACTTTGAACTCATTCATCCTGCCTATGATATCATAAGCATTATTGGGAATGGCATGCGGACCATTGGTTTTTGGTCAAACTATACAAGATTGCTATCGACTGTACTTCCAGAGGACCTATATTCAAGCCTCCTAATACTTCTCTTGCCAATGAACAACTCTATGATGTCATTTGGCCTGGACAGACTGCACAGAAGCCTCGAGGCTGGGCCTTTCCTTCCAATGCCAAGGAGTTGAAAATTGGCGTCCCCTAACAGATTTAGCTTTAAAGAGTTTGTTAGCGAAGATAATGCTACAGGGTCAATGAAGGGCTATTGCATCGATGTCTTCACTCAAGCATTGTCATTGCTTCCTTATCCAGTTACATACAGGTTTATACCTTTCGCAATGGTACTAAAAATCCTCATTATGACGAACTTGTACAGATGGTAGTGGACAATGTAAGTATGGACATGCAATTTTTTTCCCTCCTCCACATTTCAGCATGTATAATAGTGATCAGAGTTACTTTATCCTGCAGGATTTTGATGCAGCAGTAGGGATATTGCAATTACAATGAGCCAACTAAAACTATTGATTTCACCCAGCCCTTTATTGAGTCAGGCCTGGTTATCTTGGCTCCAATCAAAAGCATATAACAAGTTCTTGGGCATTCTTGCAGCCATTTACATTGGGGATGTGGTTTGTTACAGGGTTGTCTTTTCTTGTTGTGGGTGTGGTTATTTGGATTCTTGAGCATCAATAAATGATGAATTTCGTGGCTCGCCTGTGCGCAACAAATAATAACTATTGTTTGGTAAGGATCTGAATGGCATCTTTTGCACTCACTATACATACATCTTGTTTTCAATTACAGATGTTAATTTTTCCATTTGTTCCCATGCAACATGTTCCACATTATTGGCAGCCTTAAACTGTGTTTTCAACATTGACATTTTGTCCAAATGGAACATCTAGGAATGAACAAGGAATTTAAATCTTGTAATTTTAGATTGGTTGAAGAAAAGATGTCTGCACTCATAATCTATTTCACGTGATAATATGGTATATTATCCTCTATTTTCTAGTTTTGCCTGTCAAAGTACTTCTGCACACGATTATTAAATGCCTGTCTGATGGCTTGATTCTTTCCTCTGAAATTAATGCTTATGATGTGTCTTATTCTCTGCAGGTTCAGCTTTTCGACTCTCTATTTTTTGCACATAGTGAGTAAACTAGCCTTTCCTGTTATGTCCTTTAGTGTAACTGGCCCTCTGTACTGATGTGGCACCTCTACCTTAATTTTTTTATTACCAGGAGAAAACACTATGAGTACTTTTAGGACGTGGTGTTCTGATCATATGGCTATTTGTTGTATTGATCATTCAATCAAGCTATACTGCAAGTCTTACTTCCATCCTAACCGTGCAACAACTTGATACTTCTATAAGAGGAATTGATGACCTGAAAGATAGTGATTATCCTATTGGTTTCCAAGTTGGTTCTTTTGTCAAGAATACATGGTCAAGGAACTGAACATCTCACGGTCGAGGTTAAAAGCTCTTGGTTCTTCTGAAGAATACGCTAAAAACCTCAAGTTAGGCCCTAAGAAAGGAGGTGTTATGGCCATTGTTGATGAGCGCCCCTATGTTGAGCTGTTTTTGTCAACTTACTGCAAGATTGCTGTTGCTGGCTCAGATTTCACCAGTAGAGGATGGGGCTTTGTAAGTGCATTGAACTTTAAGTTGTCTTGAAATATATTCTAGTCTAGTCTAGAAATATAAACAAAAACCCATCTCATAATTCCTTCAAGATTATCAAACTAGAGTTACAGCATTAACTACAAGCGCCCATCTACTGTTTACATAGCTGATGGTACACTCTAAGATCAGTTTTTCTTAAGAAAAGGGCACATTCTCTAAGATTAGTGTTTCAGAAGTCTAATATCCAGAGTGTAGCAACCTTGTTTCATTATTTCAAACATAGCTCTTACAGAACTCACTCTATCAGGCATTTCAAAGGATTCCCTCTGCAAGTAGACCTGTCCACCGCAATCCTAACACTGTCGGAGAATGGGGAACTGCAGCGGATCCATGACAAGTGGCTCAAGACAGGCGATTGCTCAACTGACAACACTGAGTTTGTGGACTCGAACCAGCTCCGACTTGAGAGCTTCATGGGCCTCTTCCTCATTTGTGGCGCAGCATGTGTCCTCGCCCTGCTCATTTACTTTGGCATCATGCTACGCCAGTACCTGAGACATGAACAGCCGGGATCAGCAATCTCCGTGGATGCAGGGTCATCGACATCGAAGCGCAGCCTCAGAAAATTCATTTCATTCGTCGATGACAGGCAGCCGCCACCAAAGAAAAGGCGGACCATGAGCCTCTCTAGAAGTTCAATGCCAACAACGCCAATGAGTAACCGTCCTGGTACTGATATTGATATAGAAAGCTAGTGCTTGTGTATACGTTTTTGACCTGGGATACATCATCTTTGGGCCAATCTATGTGTCCTTATGTATAGGAAATTAGAGCCAAAGGCTGTGTAGCGGATTGCATTTGTCGGTTTTTAGCACCCCAACCGCCCAAGGATAAGTGGATAACAAGTCGTCCGAGTTTGGTAAACTGTAAAATTGTAGAGTCAACTCTTGTTCACGAATGATGATGGTGTTATGAATGGAATATATGTTTGTTTCATTTTATTTGTTCTTTCAGATTTCTCTCATCATGCTTTCAATGTATCTTCTGGCCACCATGAATTGATTTTACAAGTTTTTTTTTTGTCGAACACATTGGTTTCACAAGGTAATACCCCTGTCTAGAAAAGAAAGCAATTCTAGATGCATTATTGGTTAAAGTTGCTAAAGTTGAACCAAATATATAGATAAAAATATTTATCGCGTTCGGCTGGTCTAGTTACGGCTTGTTCCCGCTTGTTTCAGCTTATTCTCTCTCACAGAATACTATTGAATCATCCAGAACCATCCAAAATCCACTGTGCATGGCACCAGCCGAACGCACTGATTAATGTCTATGACATCACATAAGTACGTATAAAAGAATATCTCACGACAAATGTAACGATACTTGTTTGGTATCATAAAGTATTAATGCTTTTATATATAGTATATAAGTTGGTGAAACTTAAGATACTTAGTAGTGGTTAGTGCTGTGCTAGAGTTGCATTCTTTCGTGGATAGACAGTACAATCCAAGTTGTTCATTTGTTCGTATTTCAAACCCAAGAGATTGATTGCAAAGGTTTCAATTTTTTTAAACACGCACACAAACACACTCTCCAAGTCACTAAACAACCACCAGACATTGGAATTTTGGGGCTACTCCAGCTGTCCAGCACACCCTGGAAAATGAAAAAATGCACCCCGTTCGGCTGGTCATGTTCCAGCTTGTTTCAGCTTATTTTCTCACATAATATTATTTATTCATCCAAAGCCATCCGTTTTTCACTGAAAATTGATGGCATAATGAAAATAATATAGAAAAAATGACGACAATAGTTGGTTTCAGAAAAAAAGTGGGGAAATGGGATATTCCTGGTACCCTTGCCACCTGTGCTTTCTTTATGGATATGATGATGAAGCGGACGTTGTGGGCGCGCCATTTCGGACCCTCCACTCAACTCTCCCATGGCTTCCTCTGCCCTGCCTTCTAGAACCTTCCACCGCCGCGCGCTCCCCTCGTCTGCCCCGTCTCATCCTTCGATGGAGACCTTCGCCCCCTGCTGCCTCCCCGGCGCCGTCTCGCGGCGGCGAGTGGCCGTGCAGCTCCTCTCCGCCGGATTCTTGACGTCCGTCGCGCCGCCACCGCCGTCGCTCGCCGCGAGGAGGGGACGCATTGTAGTGCCGCCGGAGGACTACGCCACTGCACGTACGTCGGTGTGCCTGCCTGCTTCCTGGAGCTGCTGGTTTCTGTATCTTTGCTCAGTTTCTTGCTAAAGTTGGCACTTTTATTTGCGACTGACTGAATTAAGCTAATTACGGCCTTTGCTGTTAAGATTAAGATCTTTTTAATGCAAATGCTGTTGGTCCTAACTTTTTTTATGTCTGCAACACCATATATTCCTTCTTGAATATGCACTGTGTTGATTGATTGAAATTCCATTTTGAGTATCTCCAAGTAATCTGATCTGATAACATTTGGGAGCAGCTGATGGTCTGAAGTACTATGATCTTGTTGAAGGGAAGGGGCCAATTGCTGAAAAGGGCTCAACTGTGCAGGTAACTTAACACTTGTTCATGCTTCCAGTGCGCATCGCGCTTCCTTCTTAACTGAAATTAATGGCTATCTTCTCAACTCTTAAAGGTTCATTTCGACTGCATATACCGTGGCATCACTGCAGTGTCAAGCCGTGAATCAAAGCTCCTGGCAGGGAACCGGAGTATCGCCCAGGTGATGTGGCAAACTGCACCTGATTCTTGTGTGTTAGTTCTGATATCCCTGCTCAAGACCAATGAGAATTAAGATGTTTGGGTGTCTTCTAGTAGCCTTATGAGTTCACTGTTGGGTCGCTGCCTGGGAAAGAACGAAAGCGGGATTTTGCAGACAATGCCAATGGGCTATACTCAGCGCAAGCGGCACCAAAGCCTCCAGCCGCCATGTACACGATAACTGAGGGGATGAAAGTAGGGGGAAAGGTATGGACAAGAACAACTAGCACAAGTGAAGGCAAATAATTCAGCCTTTCTACCTCTAGTATATTACTAGCTTCATCTCTGATATGTATATATATGCTATTGGTCATGCAGAGGAGAGTAATTGTTCCTCCAGAGCTGGGATATGGGAAAAGGGGAATGAGCGAGATACCGGTACATGTTTTGATTCATTAAAATTTCATTGGTCAAGCAGATTGATTAGCAGATTCATGTACTGAAGTTGTTTTGTTTGATTCCATGCTTCTTTGCAGCCTGATGCTCCTTTTGAACTGGATATAGAGCTACTGGAACTCATTTCTCCTGCCGAAAAATGACCTTTTCTATTTGCACCGGACAGGGAGCATTGAGGTACTTATGGAGTGTGCCAAATTTAAGAGGAATGGATTACATGATTTACTGACATTTGAGGCCCATGCTGATTAGATATGCAATTGTAATAACCTATGATTAGATGCATGCTGAGATGGTAGTTGCCGGGACAAGAATTTTTTGTTCAAGACACAGAAATTTTTTTTGGACAATAAGCAGAACTAAAGTGTGTAAAATATTTCCCTCAAAGTAAAATACATGTAAAGTTTCTTGATTATCTTGAAACAAAACTAGGCAATGAATATTCTCCGTAGTGTCATGTCATGGAGCCTGTTTGAATATATAGGAAAAACAAAAAAAAAATGATCCGCCACTTGGTGAAGTGAGCTTGCTTGCTGATTCTCATCTATAGGTCCTCAGGGCCATTGATATCCTGGATAAAAGAATGAATACCCTGTTGTTAGAAACATCAATTGTGCTATCAGCTTGCTTTCTCATCAAGTTATGATAACCTTACATTGTCTAGGAGTTCTAACTAGTGTGAGCATGTAACAGTTCTAGATTGTTCTCTTTCCTTTTCAAAATTGTCCTTACATTCCTTTTCCTATCCAGAAGAGGAATGCTAAAATTTAATGACTTGTCTAGGAGTTCTAACTAGCGTGAGCACATAACAGTTATAGTATTGTCCTCTTTCCTTTTCAAAATTATCCTGAAGATAACATAAATGTGACAAACATCGGAACAAAACTGAGGTAAGTGTTTGCTTTAAAACTACAAAATTCCTGAGACATCAACAGTAGTGCCTCTTGAGAAAAAATACCTTGTTCTCGATCACTGCTCCGTCTGGGATTTCTAGCTTGACGCCAGGTTTTGCTGTGATGGTCACTTTCCCCTAAAAGTTACAGAGAAGAAGTGTCATTACTCCATGGCTTTAGCACTGTAAGATACTATGTGTCTTCATAAAGGCATCATAACAAACAACATGGGAAAAGGAGCTGCAAATTGTCCCATAAAGTTTCTCTGCAACTTTTTAGCATGATACATGTGATCTTCGAATAAATACATGAAACTTATCTGAACTAGGAAGGTGTTCTGCAACTTAGGAATATTATAGCTGTTCTCTAACTTAGGAAGATGTACCTTCAGTACAATGCCAGAACCAAACCAAACATCACCAGAAACCTTCAAGCTGTCAAGCTCAACAATGCTAGGGATAGACTTGAAGCGACCAAGGAAGCTCCCAACCTGCCAATTTGTTAAAAAAAACGATCATCCTATCTGCGTTTGGACCTCACGAGTTAATGTTTGAACCTCTTTTTTTCATGAATTAAATGCTAGAGTCTGACCTTCTTGAACTCAGGACCAAGTTCAATTGAGGGATTTGATGGATTTGTTCTTGCTGAATTACGTGTAACGAAGCCATCAACCAAGGTATATAGATCAGACTACAAGGCAAAAAATAAAGGTTTTCATTTAGACAGCTAGAGAGCGCATTACATACTCAATTTTATTCAGCATAGCATACAAACCTGTACTAGCTGCAAATCTGATGTTGCCTTAACTGGTAGGAACCGGGACCTTGGAACGTTGATACCAATGGCGTGGTCAAAGAACTGGTCCAATAAAATATTGTTTGTTATATTTATATATAGTCATATAAAAGCATGGTAATGTACATAGTATTTTGGCAGTACCCTAATCGCTGCACCAGCTGCTGTTTCCAGCTGAAGAACTTTCACACCATCGACTTCCTGAAATTATATGTTATCCATTATAACTATATTTTTCTCTTGAAATTCATACCGGTTATTAAGTTCATGAAGTGTCCCAGATGGAAACAGGGTTTCCTAATGTTCACTCTTACCTTAGGATTCGGAATGATCTCCATCTTGAGTGCATCAGCTTCAACAAGGCGTTTGATGGCCTTCAAGTTCACCCACCTGCCAAACCAGCAGTAGCATTAGATAACATGAGCAATTTTCTTTAGAAGAAATGAAATTTAAATATGATCCTTACAGATTGTTGGTGTTGAATATCTTGAATTTCTCAATTGATTTGAACTCATTCACCTATGTTCAGAAAGTTTTGGCAATGATCTCAGAAAAAACCGTACAATTACTTTCTGTGATACTTATTATCAATGCATATGCAGTGCTATCTTAGAACTTACATGTGCATCAGGCACTTGTGCAATCTCCAGAAGCTGCATACAGAGAGAAGGTTATTGTCATTTAAACAGTAATCAGGCATCAATGAAAAAAAAGGTTAAGGCATGAAAACGGCTGTATAAACACTTCCAATAATAATACATGAAACTACATTGCAGACTGGAAAGCATAGAAAGAAAAATTCATTGCTCCAGTAGCACAAGGAAGTAGAAAAGATAACCTGAACCCTTCCTTCGTATGAGATCAGTGTGCCACCTTTTACATCAGCCAAAGTTTTCGGGTGACCTGAAAAGAGTTTGTAGAGATTCCTTATCAACCAACTGTCAAACTCCAAGTAATCTTGCTTCATCAGATAACTACATACCTCCATGCAATATTCATTCTGCTTGTGGATCAAATGGTTCAGTATCTCTATTCAACGGTTAAGTACATTGCAAAGTAGCATGCTCTTTATTAATCAGAAAACTTGCAAAAGTAAATGGTAATGCTAGTTTACATAAGGATACTCATGTCAACAATAGCGCCCAAGTTATCCGAGTTTGCAATGAACACATACTCTTTTCCCTGCAACAGGGTCAACAAAGAAAATAATATTATTATGTTAATAATGCATGAAAAACTCTGGATCAACAACAATGGGAGCTAAGGGTATATCCAGATCAATGCAGACCTGTGAGAGTAGTAAATCGAGCTTTCCACTGTTCATCAGTGATGGGAAGATATCACCATGGCCAGGAGGGTACCTGAAATTTTATATAAGGCAAAGATGTTCAGAGTTGGTACTAGATTCATGCCATGTATGTTCTGGTTGAGCTACATATAGCGTTGGCTTACCAGCCATCCTTGTCAGTCTTTCCCTTGGACGGCCATGGCAAGAACTCGTCAGCTACCACACGAGGATACTGGCTCTGTAATGATACAGATTGTTTTATTGTCAGCTTAGCATATTTTCGGAGTCGAATTGGTAAACTAAGATTAGAAAAAAATTGCCTAGCGTACCTGGTTGAATGTGTGGATGTCAATGCTTGAATTTGCGTATTTCTCAACAATCTGTAGGACAAGCATAACCATTAGCTTTCGATCTCCAATATGAAGAAGAGGAAGAACTTGTGATGAAGAGAGAATTTACTTTCAAGGTGTCCTCATGGGTGTTGAAGGAGTTCATCAGAAGCAGCGGCACATTGCTGCCGTACTTCTTGTTGAGTGACTGTAAGAGAAATGATGCCATGCCACCAAGTGTCACCATACATACAAGATAGAAAGAAGATCAAGTGCTGAAGTTTGCAGGAACAGCGCTGCATTAGTCAGTCGTGATGATGTTTTAAGTTAACCCACCTCGATCTGGATGACAATCAGGTCGAGGAAAGTGAATCCGTTGCGCACTTCGATGACCGATCTGCATGCAATTAACGTTAGTTTCAGACAGCATTGTTGAGAGAGCTCTGTGAACATGATGCTCATATTCAGATACGATACCAGCAGCCACATATATATGGAAGCAAAATGCTAGAGCTTGATTCAGGCATTGAATTGAAACTAAACCGAAGGCAGACTTTACAGCCTACTGCATTCCTGAACTCGATCCGATAGATCTGGGCACGGCTTACTTGGGTCCGGTGCATCCCATGGTCGTCCCCAGGCCGCCGTTGAGCTTGAGCACGGCGAGCTTGTCGAGCAGTTTCTTGGTTGCCTCAATGTCTGCATTTATTTATTACAGTATATTACTTAGGCAAATCAGCCTTGGCATTCACATTCCCGTGCATCAGATTCAGGATTACGCAGCAGAAGAGTAGGCGTACCTTCAGGCGGGGATTCCAGGGTGTCGTACGGCACCACCACCTCGTCGGTGGGCGTGTGGATCTTGGCCCACTCGATGATCTCCTCGTCGCCGCTTCAAGTTCGCCGGCACGATGAGACACTGTCAGATCGATCGACATTTCTGGTCCGAGCAATTCTTCATCATGAGCTGATGGCACTTACCTGAGGTAGCGGCCGACGAGGCTGAGGAAACCAGACTTCTCATTATCGCTGCAGACACCAAGAACCCAACCAACCAATCAGTGTCACCAAGAAGAAAAAGCATCGGGAATAGATGGGCATGGTAGAGAGTATAGAGAAGAAAGAATTGCGATCTCTCTCATGGGGCAACGAGTACGTGATCTGAGAGCGGAAGGGTGCAGCAGACCTGATCTGCGTGAGGCCGGCGGTGGCTTCGCGCAGCTTGGCAAGCTTCTCGTCCGCCATTACTGCAACTGCAAGATGCGCGCCTGACGCCGGGAGATGGATCTGAGAGAGAGGAGGGAGACGGGGAGATCGGAGGAAGGAGGTGTCGGTTATTATAAGGCAGAGCGATGGCGGGATGATGAACCATCCAAAAAAAGGGGCCGTCGCAAGAGACAGCCCGTTACCGGCGGAGGAAGCGCTATTTTTATTGTGTTATTTTTTTCTCCTTTTATTTAATCCATTCATTGTTTTTTTCTTTTTTATTTCAAAAGAATTATTTTTTTATCTTACGAAGAGATAGCCTTTAGATAGCGAGCTGGAATTTATCTTGGTTTAGTTTTCACCCACGAGGCCACGAATTTGATCTGGGATGCTAGCTTGTTCAATATATTTGTCAGTGTTAGATCTAGAAGAGATGGCATTCACCCAGACATGTGAGCGACAGCGACCATCAGAATAATCAGGTTCAGAACTCATGTGTTTGTTCAATATATATGCTTCCTAGCAACAAGATCATACCACAGAATTCTGCTCCAAGCAGGTATACCATTTGCAATATGTCGGTCGGAAACCAAAAAAAAAAAAAAAAGAAGGTTCACCATCCAATTCCATCCTTCCACCACCGTGCATCCTAATGGTTTACAATTTCAGCATCTGTATCTGTATATACAAAGGATGACACATCTAATAACCAAAGAACAAAGCCAATGATCTGGAGCACACTCTACTACACGTAGTATCTAACAATTTTTTTCATCTACTCTTAGCTTTATTGTTTCCGAGTACCGACATATACACAAATGTGGAGGTAGTATTCAGGGTTCTTCAGGTTATTGGCAACCCAAAGGAACGGGATGTCCATGTCCAGCTCGATGCCTTGCACCCTTACCAGCTTCACTTTCGCTTTCTTGGCAGCACCCGCCGCCTCTCGTGGACTTGCCAGGGCTTGTCCTGCCTCCTGAGAACTTCTTGAAGAGTTGGTGGCATCTGAACTGTCAGCAGCCGAGTCCAGTGCCCCTGCACGTTGGGAGTCGTCGGCTCTGCCTGCGGGCTTTGACCTGAAGAACTCTGGAAGTAATGTTTGCAATGCGTGTTCCAGGGTGATGTAACTTCTACCATGACGTGAGAGTGAAGTACATGTTAAGGAAAACAACTAGCTCATATAGCATACAAAAGCATAAAAGTTATGTGGTACCACATACCTTCAACCTTGCGAATCTCAAATGGCCGATTTATGTAGGACACACTTTCCCAGTCACTAACAGGTATTGCATCTTCTATATACTCAAGCTCTTCTTGAACATTGCGTACATATAGTCGAACAGGAACCCTGCCTAACCATAGATTAATTGATCAGAGCCAGCAAGGTATGTGGGCATACCATAACATGGCATCACTTAATGTTATAGAACTTGGAAAGTGCATTGAATGAAACTATGAAAAAAAATCCGGATTATCGTATTAAATTCTTGTAAGCACATGAATGTTTAACATGAATGACAATATAAAAGTCCCAGAGCAAAAGAGCATACACGGTTTGCTAGATCCAGGAGATTCAGGTTCATCAGAATTTTGTTGACGTTGACGCTCCATGGATGCTGTTCGTACTAACCCATCATCTTCGAATGGTCCAAGCTTAAGCCTGGTGGAGATATTTTTATACCCATCTAAGTTACCTAATAACAAATAACACAATGATGGTTAAAATGTATGCGAAATGCATTTCAGAACATTTCACCAGCCAGAGATATGTTTGTCAAAGTGAGATGATGTTTCTAGAGGGTACCTTTCATTACAGATTCCCACAGAGCAACTTGATCAGCATGTGACATATTCATCACACTCTTATTGTTCCCAGTAATGATGAAGGTGGCCTGAAGAGAGGGGAAAAAAACCAAAATTACTATCGGTTCCTTTGTGATGGGACTTGGTGGTAATTTTGGTTCTCAAAACAAACCTCTTTCAGGGAATTCATGTAGCTCCACTTCACGCTATCTTCACCCTCGCATGGTGACAAGATTTCTGAGGGATATCCCCTAAAATGGACCTATAGTTGATACATAAGTTGAGTTAATATACAACTATATAAGAACTGAACAAGAGAAACGGACATGTGGTACCAGAAACATCAAGCTAATGCAGAAATTTTATTCTCATAATTCCAGACTCCAACTGAAAACTGCCATGTAATAAAAAAATCTTTAAGTTTGTTTTTTATATAGGCAAGGAGGACTCTAGGCTGGTTTATAGAATCATGACCACCGTGGGATCTCCTTGCCTAATATTACATCAATCAATCTATAATTAGCCATAATGGGCCAACAGCCCATGCGCCTATGCAGCTGTCTAACACATATTGACCCAGACCCCCACTCATGTGGGAGCCTCCGGCACTGGGTCTGCCCTTTTTTTTTGCCCCAGTTAAGTAAAGTGTCATAAACACCCAACGCTGTTCTTTTTAACCTAGCGACCTAGCCATATTACACTACGTGAGCAACCTTTGAAATGTTGATGTCTGTATGACTTCTATAAAGCAAGGGATACAAAGTGAAAATCTTGCAGTAAAAAATGTTTCCATTATTTCAGATTGACCTAACTGGCCTTTCACTGAGCTGAATTGCTAACCTAGTAACTAGAGTTGTAGGAGTATGGTCCAAAATTAAGTCAAAAGTCAAAACAGAGAAAACTTCAGAAGGGGTAGAGTTGGTATAAAATACATAGTTAATAATAATTCAAGCTAACAAAAATATGAAACATAATGTAAATAGTTTATGAAAGGAGATATATCGGTCCCTCTTTGCATATGTATATTACATCAACAGACCACAAATGACAGAGAACATACTACAAAACAATCAGGTACATAAAAGTACATCCGAAGATAAAAGTAGAAGTGAAAAATGCAGCCTTACTATTAGATTCCATGGTCTTTCTGGATCTGCATGCATAGAAGGTCGAAAAGAACACCAATTGGCACATACCTAAGAGTGCAAAAAAAAAAAAAGGCTGTCAGCAATTTTAAAGAGTATTGAACAATAGCATGTGTTTCCATTATTTAACTCAGGAGTAAATGACCATCAAAGCTATATGGAGAAAGGAACACATGTTACCATTTTAAAGGCAGCCCTTTATATTCAAACCAAACAGTGTCAACACCAGGTGGGAGCGCATTGCTGAAATGAGCCTTTATAACAGGTATCAAGAGGGGCAAGTACCCAATTCTTGGCCCCAAAGTCTGTTCAAGACAAAAGAAGATCCATAATTGAAACAGATAAGATTATGGAGGACTAACAGCGTATGCCAAAACTCCAAATATTTCTCAACACAAAGAACAGTCCTGTAAAGGGAAGTATAGGACTTTCCATAGAAACAAAAGGTGAATAGCAGGTTTGCACTTTTGTTGTACTCGAGGGTAGGAAGGGGTACATAGATGAATTTTCAGTGAATTCCATAGAAACACTAGTATACACCATCTGAGTGCACATAAGATGCCAACTAAACAAGCCAAGGAAATAAAAAATAGAGTGCACACATGATTATCAGACTGGAATCATGCTCAGACAGGTATTAACGACAGACACAATGAATTCTCCTGTGTTGTAATTGTAACAGCGACGGAGCACACAAACCTTATATACTAAACCTTATCACTGGCCACTGCATAAAACTCTGCAGGGATCGGTAGCGCTAAATTCAACTCCTCACACAAATGGAAGGAGTAGGTTCCAGATATAGAGTAGAGAAGACTTTGTGAGCCCCGAGAAATTGACGCGGGAGTCATGACGACCCACTGATATTCAACTTCAAAATATTAATTAACCTAGACTAGCTTGTAAGGCTGGCATGAAGTTTTGCTTTGTTTGCATTACAGATTCGTGGGTGAAGACGAGGATTTTACAACCCGTAGTTGGGTATCTTGTACATGGGTTAAACCAAAAGACTGGCAAATCCTACAACAGCAGCTCAATTTCTGATGTGATCAGCACATATGGCCTGTACTGTGCACTACTGTAGTGGCCTAGAAACTGAGCAGCAGTGATCTTAATTAACGTAACAGTTAAGCGAGCCGAGCAATCGGCAATGGAGTAGCACGACGGAGAATTCCTATCCTGGGAACAAAGCGAGTTCGCAGCCGAAATAGCAAGCGAAGGGCAGGAGGCGGTAGGTAGATGCTGAGGAGGGAGCGGGTCTCCGTAGGGGAAGGGGGGCATACGCACGCATACCAGGAAGGGCGGCGGCGGGGGCAACGCGGTGACGTCGGCGTCGTGGAGGTGGACCTGGAGCGGCACGGCGCCGGCCCAGACCCGGCGCGCCGCCTCCTCGGACCACGCCGCGGCCTCGTCGTGCGGGGCAGCCATTGCCACCGCCGGCGGGCAGATCTCGCCGGCTACGACGCTGGGCGGCCGGTCCCCTTGCCTAGTCCGAGAGGGTTGGGGGCTTGGGGCGGGGCGGGGCGGGGCGGCGAGAGAGACGGCGGGCGGAGGAGAGGAAGGCGAGCGCGGACGGGTGGGGAATTTGGGTCGGGTTCGGTCGCTGGGCCTGGCCCACCAGGAGAAGGAGGGAGAGCCAGAGAGTCCTTTTCGGCTTTTCGTTCCCGGCCGAGGTCCGGAGCGCATCACGGCAACAGGCACGCCTCTTCACGGCCTTGCTAGCCACGTCCAATGCCCGCGCCTGTAATATTTTTCTCGTGCCATTTCGCGCATTCACGCGAGGTTCACGCCGCCCTGAACATCACCAGCACCGAGAAGAGGGAAGGCGGCAGCAAATATCCAGCCAACATCGAGAGGAGACACCGAGCCGCCCTAAACATCACCAGCATTGAGAAGAGGGGAGGCGGCGGCAGATACCCAGCCGGCGCAGGGAGGAGGGGGAGGAAACATCAAGGCGAGGAGGGAGATGTAACACTCGATCTACTTTTGAAACGTTCAGATGCAACACTTACAACATACGTCTAAAGGCAGATGAAACACTTGAAACATACATCTGAAACACTTGCAAAACACCTGTAAAACACTTAAAACCATTGCAAAAACATACATAACATCCGGGTTAAACACTTGCAACATATGTATGAAACATATGCAACATCCAAATAAACACACATGCAACATACGTCTAGGAAACAGATGAAACCGTGAGAACAGAAGCTTGCAACATACGTGTACAACCATTGCAACATACGCAACAGCCCGATCTACTTATGCAACATGCCTATGAAACATCTGAAACACTTAAAACATAGGCTTTCAACATGCGTTTTTTATATTTCTTCCATACAACGTAGCTCGGAGTGGGGGAACGCCCAAACGGCGATCGAGGATGGGGGTGACGACCGATGGGAGATCACATCGGCCAAGCCGGCGGACGACTAGGCGCCAGATGTAACACCCCGGTGTTATGCCTACATTTAGGCACTGCAAATCATGCATATCATGCATCATCAAGCATCCTAATCATACATGCATAATCTTGCATATAATAACTGAAACATTCCTTCGAAACATACGAAACATGTTTGTGAAAAGTAAATGATGCATACACTTATTAGAGTTGTTTTGCTCTGATTCTTGCTTGCTAGCTGAGTAGAAACTGTTGGTTATGCTTGAAAATCATCTAGAATTGTTTATCACAATTTTTGGAGCAAGGTTTGTATTCAAATTAATTCAAAATTTTGCTTCCAAAGTGATTTCCCAAAATTAGGGTTTTGAGTTAAAAATTTAACTTTGATTCTATAATCTAAAATCTAGATAGAATTGGACTTTGGTCATAAAAGCAAAGTCGTAGGGAATTTAATTCTAAGCAACTTTCATTTTTGGTACATTTTCAAAAGAGGTCATTTTCTTGCTCAAAATAATGTTTGAAAGATGGCAATTTAAAATTTTCTTGAAAATCAATTGAAAAATTCCATTTTCTATTTTTCGGGCCGCCCTTCGCCTCACCAAATTGGCCGGCCCAAAGCCCAGCCACACACAGCGCTCGCCTTCAGCCCAGCCCAGATCACAGCCCACTGGCCTCACCTCACACAGCTTTTCTTTCTCCCTCCTGGCTGCAGCCATCCACACACGCCACGTCCCGGCCTCGTCGGCGACGCCACAGGTCCGTCCACGCCCGGGCTAGCTCGACCACGCAGCCAGCTGGCGCAAGGGCTTGAAGAGGCGCGCCTGCCGCCGCGCCAGCCGCTACGCGCTTCTTCCCTCCTGCGCCGCTTTCACTCCGCCGCCATGAGCCCCGAAGCCAAGCCCTGCTGAGCTCGAGCTCCGCCAAGCTCTCACACCGCATCATTTTCCGATTGTTGCGCGCCCACACGCCTGCCTTCCTCGCTTCCTTTTGGCTCACGCTCGCTTATGCTGCCTTCGAGCCACAGGTAAGCTTTCCCCGCCTATCACCGGCGTCCATGGCGCCACCGTGCCCGGCCGCGGTGGAGCGCTCTCTTCCTCCCTTCCCACCGCATGTGGTCAGCTTAGCTTTCTTGCCATGGCTCGCACACCTATTATGCGCTGCATTGGCTTATGCCGCCATGGCCGAAAGTTATTGGCCGTCATTGGGCCGAAGCAGCCATTGTTGCTAGCCAATACAGACCTTTGCCCGAGGCACCTTGTTTCTACCGGCCAAAGCCGAGCAGTGTGTGGTCGACGCTGTTGGGCAATCTCCCTCCTCAGCCAAGGGCACAGCGCCAGGTCGGTGATGGCCGTGGGCCAGCTGTTCTCTTTCAGCCGGCCCAAAGATTTCTGAAATGAATTGATTTCCTTTTTTTATTTGTTATTTGAAATCAAAATGGTTTGAAAAATGTTTGATGGTCAAACTTGCTCCAAATTTGTTGAAACAAAATTTGCTAGGTTCCTTATCACCAGATCTACTTGGGAAAAATAGTGCATGTCATTTTTGATATACTTTTCTATAGGATTTTATTTAATCTTGAATATTGCTGATAACTTGAAAAATATGTAGAAAAATATATAGGCTTCAGAAAAATATGATTCCAAGTTTGTTAATCTTCTTATTTCATGTACTTCCTAGGAAAAAATATGTTTCATGCATGTACTGTGGGAAAAATTTGAGGTGTAGTTCAAGTACCTTAAATGGCTGATTTTTGTTATTTTGCTAGAGAGCAAACTTTGTATAAAACATTCATGTGATAATTTTTGTACAGTCATTATATGCTATGAAGAACCCAGGAAAATATTAATTCTGTTGTTTGACACTTTTCATAGTACAAAGTAATTTCATGCTCATTTTTATGCAATAACTTGTCATTTTTGTGTAGGATAGTTTACTTATCCAAATGCCATGAAATTTTTATGGTAGTCTGTTTAGGTAGTATTATGCTACTGTAATTTTCTCAGATTTTTAGGAGCATCAGAAATATAGGTTGCTATTCAAACCTATTATTAATTAAGGTTTAAGCAAGTGTTGCCTTAAGTGTGATTAAGAAATTAGTAAAGCTTTGGTGTATCTTTGAAGCATTTCACAAGATAGGTTAACTTAACATATTAGTAGTAGAAGAGAATGCAGTAGATGACATGTGCTTGTAGCATAGTTTCTTGGATGATGTTGTCTACCTTGCCTTTCAACATATTCATTGCATTCATCTCCTTCGATGCACCGATTGCATATAGGCACTTACACGCATTGCATCATACAGGATGATCGCAAACCGAGAACCCAGCCGTCATTCCCGAGGAGCCCGAGGAGCAGCTTCGAGGTGCAAAGCAGGAAGTGCCGTGGTTTACGAGGAGAGGACGTTGAAGAACTTCCTGAGTGCCCCGATCACCGCCTCGAAAGCTCCTTCGAGAGAGGCAAGCCCCGAGCATCTTTCTCCCGGTTTGCAATGATTTCGTTAAATTCTTTACTTAAAATTGATGCATTACGTTCAGGAGTTGTTTGCAACCGTTCTTTGCATTATACCTTGTTTACCTTTTGTTATACTATATCCTTGTTACCCCGGTATCCGCAATGAGTCAATGCTTAGCCGGGCTTAGACCGTAGAAGTCGGGTGATTTCGCCACCGCGAGCTATAGGTGGTTACCGGATCTGTTTGGATGGCTATGAAGTCATGGTATAACTAAGTGTTAAATGAAGTTGAGACCGGGCGAGACTTGCGTGGTTTTGGACCAGTAGTGTTTCCGTCTGCAGTCGATTAAGGACCGACCGTTGTTGGGCCTCGAGTCATGTTGAACGATGCCTTACATTTAGTCGGGCGGATAAAGTACCTTCCGACCGCTTGGTCGGGAGATTTTTTCGGGTTAGTAGATTGCCTGCAGCCAAGACCGTGTCAAGCAGTGTGTGGTAGGACACGGGGCGGGATGATAAGACCAAAGTGCGCAAATGGTCGGCCCCGGTACATGTGGTTCCCGCAAACTCGAGATACCGAAAGTTGACTTTGGTGATCAATATCTCACTTTAGCGGGTGAGTGAGATTTGTGTAAGGAATAAATCACCACCGGTTAGGAATCGATTCGAATCGCCATCGCTCTGGATAGTGAGCACTTGACTTGAGTGACTTCATCGTAGTAAATGTTTATGGAACACTTGGACAAGTATAGTGAATATGACAAGATGGAAGTTGTTTAATGATCAAGGTTATCATTAATTGCTTAATCACATGTTTACTCTAGTATAGGTGCAAATCTAGTCGACAAAGTTAATAATAATTAATTTGACAATAATGCTTTTAGAAAGGTTCTTAAAATGCTAAAATGCTTCTTTTGCAAATGAGTCACCTACCCTACTATAATGCCCGCATAATCCTTGGTGTCGTTTATTTTCGGTTATGTCGGTAAGTCCGGCCGAGTACATTCTCGTACTCGTGGTTTTATTCCCACTTGTTGCGTATGGGCGATGTACTATGGCTATTGTATCAACCGCCTCTATCCTGCGATGGTGATGCTTAGGACCATGGGCATGGTCATTCCTTACGCCTCATCTAATGCTTTTGTTGGAGATGATCATCACCGGCACTATATTTGAACTCCGTGTGAGTGTGTGTGGTTTTAAACAAATGACTTCCGCTACTTTTATTCGAACTTGTTTTGTAATAACTTTTATTTAAACTCGATGTATCTGTTATGGAAACTTTTATGTAATATGTGATTGGTGACCGCTAAACTTATTACGATCATGGTCGGGGGACACGAGTTGGTTTGAAATCCTTCGTGATTTCACGGACTACCGGGTTATACGGGCTTAAGTTTGCTCAATCGCCCGCTTCCGTGGATGATTTTCTTACTTAATTTCGTATAATTGGTCGGTTCTCATATACCGCATCGAGCATGGTTTAGCGTGTTATCGTTCACAAGTGTATTTAAAACAAAAAGGCATTTGGAAAACGTGATTTTAAAACTATAAAGTGTGCCGTTGA